AAGAACATGTTTGACATGTTGCCCTGGGAGGATAGGTTTCGGGAAACGCCCTGCTAAGTTTCTGTTAACCAGATAACTTTCAGATTACTAGAAATGACATGATGCTATTCTCCCCCACTGCGTACTTCTCCTCCCCCATTGTGCTCCTGTATATAAGCTGTGAGTGCTTTCAATAAAATGGAGACATATTTGGAATTTCAACTTGTCTCCGATGCTTCTTGTCCCTTTTTTGTCATTCTTTCCTTCCCAGGGTCGCCGTTGAAAAGATCCCGCGGGCTGGGACACTTCTCCAGCACCACAGCTTAAAGGCATCAATTCTCCTTCCATCATCCCTAGTCACTGCCCAGCTCTCTGTTGTATAACAAGTAATCGCAAAGGCCATGGCCTGTATCAGGACAGACAGTGTTGCTCTTCAGTACTTTGGAGAGGTCTCTGACAGCAGACTTTCCCAATGCAATTAATCTTTTAATTTCCTGGCTGTTGGTACCAAGACAGGGCCTTATACATTTGTAAAAAGAGCAAAGGCCACGTGGGGATGGCCAGGTCTTACCTTTACAAATTTCACAAAAGGGAACTGTTCCTATCAACAGCACCAGCAACACCAACACAAAACCAATTTCTATGAGGTCAGGCATGTCCCCCATGCTACTGTACCTCGTTTTACTCATCTCAACACCAACCTTACTGCTTTACTGGGTCCAAAATCTGATGCAACTCACAGACCCTCAGAGTCATGTGACGGAAGCCAAAGGTTAGTAGTCAGCCAGGTAAGTAGCAAGTCAGGATGGCTTCTGAAATGTGCTCGAGGGCACCTCAGCCTTGAGCCTCACAGCTTCAGTCCTGCTCTCTGCCTTACCTCCCTGTTATCCAACCAACGTGGCTAAAGGCTCTTAGTCCTGTCCACAGAGGGCAGCAGTCCCAAGGTCCACTCTGAAGCCTGCCCTGTCCTGAGCCAGTCTCCCTGACTCAGACATACCTACCCCCACTGCCCCAATGTGTCAGTCCATCTCATCTTCCTCTCCCCGGCTGTCCATCCTCCTCCACGGACTGGTCCCTCCTGGCTACATACTCGAAGTATGAGACAGCTTCAAAATCCTTGTCTCAAAGGAACAGCTTGTTTTCATCCTCTCTGGAATGGACGCATTAGTTGTAGCAGTCCATAGTATGTTCAAGACTCCTCCAGCACAACTCAAAGGATCCATTTTTATCGTCCTTAGTCATTGTCCAACCCTATGATGCATAGCAAGCAGTTGCAAAGACCAAGGCCTGGATCAGACACACTTTAGTCTCTAGACTGATATCATTACTCTAACACTTTTGAGAAATCTGCGACAGCAGACTTCCCCAGTCTAGTTCATATTTTTATTTCCTGACTGCTGGAGCCAAAAGTGTTGATTGTGGAGCCAAGCAAACAAATTGTTAACAACCTCAGTCTCTTCACCATGTGTCATGGTGCTGCCAGTCAGCCCAGTGGTGAGGATCTTTGTCTTCTTGATGTTGAGCTTCAAGCATATTGAAGACTTCAGGCCTTGACCTTCTGCAGCAAGCGCCTTAGGTCCTCCTCAGTTTCCATGAACAGGGTTGTGCCATCTGCTTAATAGATAGTTGATGAGTCTACCTCCATTGCTGATGCCACATTCCTCATAAAGCCCAGCCTCTCGAATGATCTGTTCTGCATGTTGATTGAAAAGGTATGGAAACAAGACGTGACCCAGACACACTCCTTTCCTGATTTTGAACCATTCAGTTTTCCCCTGCTCTGTTCTGAGGACTGCTTCCTGGTCTGAGTATATGTTTCACATCAGCACAATCAAATGTTATCTCCAATTCTGTTACTGGAGCTGCTCAATTTAATGGTGAGACTATCCAGTCCCCTTGTGGATAGGCAAACATGTCCTCATCATATATCCCACCCATCCACATAGCAAAGTCAGCAATGGCTAGGGAAGCCACTTTGAATAAGCCCTTAACTCCACGGCATCAGTGAAAAACCATTAAGAAAATATGACACACTGCACTTCAGGGATTAATCAAGAACACATGACGCTGAGTGACGTAAGCCAGTCACAAAAGGAGACTTATGGTGGTAGTGTCAGGTGCTGACAAGTAGTGTGAGAGTCAGGGTGACCCTGCGAACAGCAGCCCCGAGCCCCGTCCTTCCTGTGTCCTCACCACCTCCTACTCGCTTGAGCCCATTGCCAGTTACTGGTCAAAAGTCTTTCTTCTAGGGGAGCTCTGGTGGCCTAGTGGCAAGAAGCTGCACTGCAATCCCAGAGGAACACGGTTCGAATCCACCAGATGCTCTGCCGGAGAAGGAGGCGCAATATCCTCCTGTACCAGTCAGATCTGATTTGACGGTACACGCACACAAAATAATAAAAAAAAAAAAAAAGTCTTTCTTCTGATTTAAGATCACGGTTATAAAAGCAAAAGAAAAGTGACACATACATAGACTCAAGCTTGCAGGGTGACTGGGGATGAGAAAGGAGAGAGAGTAAATGACTGGGGTAGGTGAGTGGAAAGGGCAATGGGAGCGAATCAGATGTTGTGCTTCATGACACCACCTGTGTTTGTCAGCTTCTTCTTGTTGTTGTTGTTGTTTAATGCCGTCGAGTCGTAGAGGACTCATAGCGACCCTATGAACGAACAGCCTGAGCACTGTTCGTACATAGAGTTTCCAGAGACAAGCCATTTTGGAAGTGGATGCCGCACCTGCTTCCAGGCTTGATTTAGTCGGGAAGCTCCAGCCAACACTGTCCACCTTGGGTGCCCATTACCACGACTGGCACATCACTGTCACAGGCTTCAGCATCACAGCAACCACGAGTTACCTCTGTACAGCAACATGTAATTTGTAAACTCAGAAAAACAGTTAAAAGGCCCTGGGAGTGGATATGCCTAATGCAAAGGGGAAAAAAAATGGCTTTTTGAAGCCAGTTAGACCACAGCACTCCCCCACTCAGGGCCCCTGGGGCTCATGGACTGGGCACCTGTCCATCACTTGGGGCCCTTGGGGCTCATGGACTGGGCAGCCATGCATGACTTGAGGACATTCCAACCACACTTTCATTAGCCAGTGGTCACTGTCCCCAACCCCAAGCAGACACCCCTTCTCCCCTCTGTTGTGTCCAACTACGAGTGTTTCATGCCCCAGGATCCCATATTACATATCCTGTCAGAAACTCACGTTCCTATCTATGTCACTGACCATAACATCCCCAAGGCCTCCACGAAGCAAGTATCAGGTTATGGGATGTGTCACCTGCTGCCTGAGAGGTCAGTGGTTCAGATCGCCCAGGCAATCTTCCCAACATGGTGCAGCCTCAGAGCCCAACAAAAGGTCCTGGAGTCAGATCCAGCCCCAAGGCCAGAGTTGGTGCTCCGCTGAATGGACTGATGAGCAGAGTGTGTCCACTTCCTCAGAATGGTGCACAGGACACAGGTCACAGAGTAAACACAGGCTTTACGTGGGCATAGGACAAAAGATTCTGTGTGAACAGAGGACCCAGAACTCTGTGTGGAAGACTACTCCTGTCCGTCTCCCACAAGGAAGTAGAATTGCTGAGTCATGTCCACTCTGACCACAGGGAACTTCTCCCCAGCTGCCAACCACCAGTGGCGCTGCTGTGGTGCCAACGGACTGGAGGGTGTGGGTGGTTCCTTGATGTGGAGCAGGACGAGGGTTCATGAGCGATCCCTGCACTCCCGCTGAGATCGTGCCACCCAGCTGAGGACTGGTGTCCGAATCCCCACCATGGATCTTCTTAGAGTGAGACACTGGGCTGCAGAGCCTCTGAACTGCCCACCTGGGAGGGTCCTGGGGCCCAGATGCCAGGAAAAGAGGCCCATCCAACCTAATGGCTCTCTCTGCCTTTCCCCACAGGTCACTTGATCAAAGTACAGATCACTGGGAGGCCACACAGCCACCCCCCACTCTCGGCCATACATGACCTCACTGCAGAAGGCCGGCACCCATTTGTGTGTGGGTGTCCTGATGCACTCTAGATGGGTGCTGACAGCCGCCCACTGCCTGGTCCCCCCGTGATGTCACTGCCCCCCTATCCCCAGACCTCCATTCTCACAGCATCCCCTTTCTGCTCCGGTACTGGACGTGGCTGTCTGGGGCTCCTGGGGAGATGGGCATCAGAGGAACAGGAAAACACCCTTCCGTTGAGGGAGTGACCTACCTGGCATCACCTGGTGGCCAGAGGTGGAGCCAGACTCGGGGCAGAGGACAGAGGGCCCCCAGGAAGTAACTGGGCCCTGGTCTTGAATACCGAGGCTCCTCCACTGACTCATGCCATCATAGCCCCAACCTCTGGACTTCCCAGCCATGAAGACTCCAGATCAAAGAGATGAAAAGAGCAGCAGAGGATCTGAAGGCTCGTCAGCTTCAGGCACAGCTGGATCCAGTTCTCCTGTGATTCACTCAGGCTTCTGTCTCAGCACCACTGGCCTGTGCCGGCTGTGTCCTCAGAAAGGCTGTCCAGGCACGTCTGAGGACAGGACGTTTACTTTTCTCTGGGGCAATGTCTGTCGACTGGGGAGCCCCAGCTGCATCACAGAGCAAGCTCTGCACAAACCACCTGACACATAAGCCTAGGGTGAGGCTGGGTGGTGTGAGGCCTGAGCCGGCCTCTGGGAGCCCCAGGTAGGACCAGTGTCTGAACTCTGACCCAGTCAGAGGTGAGGCGGGAGCAGGAAGGGATTCCTGGAAGGGGGGGTTGAGGAGGGCTGGGGCAGTGAGGCAAGGTCAGGATCACCCATACACAAGCAGCCTTGATGTGAGGAAGGTCCCCAAGCTACAGGCCCCCTGTCTCTGCCCAGCGGGACGGAGCTGCTTGAGAGTGGTGCTGGCACAACCCGAGTGACCGCAGCCTATCCTTCGTCAAGGCATCTGTCCTGCACCCCGCTAAAAGGCAGCCCCTGAGGACCTTACCTCACATTGCTCACCCCTGTGCCCCTCCCCCTCTACAGCCCCTCCCCCCTCAGTCACCTGCCTATCCTTCACATCTAATCCCTCCCACCTGCCCTGGACTCACCCCAGTCCCTCCACTATATCCTTCCAACTTGCATCTAGTCCCTCTTCCACGTCCTATGTCCCTCCCATTTGACCCATGTGCCTCTATACTGGCCCCTATGGCCCTCCAAACTGACACCATATCCCTCTACATGTGACCCTATGTCGCTCCACACCTGGCCCCGTGTTCCACAACACCTGGCCCTAGTCCCTTCCCAATTGCCCCCAGTCCCTTTTAGCTACAATATGTCCCTCCCGCCTACCCCTTATATCTCCAAACCTGCCCCATTTCCCTCCCAACTCACGCATGTTCCTCTAAACTAGCCCCTATGTCCCTCCAAACTGACACCATCTCCTTTCACTCCTGACCCCATGATTTTCCATGCCTAATCTCATGTCCCTTCATGCCTGACCCCCTGCACTCTCCCCCACAGCTGGAGGGCAAGGTGAAGTCCATTAAGACCATCCTGCCCCTGCCCCACAGGCCCCAGGTAGTGCAGGCTGGAGTGTGGTGTAATGTGGCCAGCTGGGGACTGACCCACCATGGAGGGCAGCACTTGCAGGAGCTGGATGTACAAGTGTTGGACCATCAGATGTGCAACAACAGCTGCTTCTAGCATGGTCCTGTCTGCCCACATGGCCTGCAAGGTGAGGTCCTGGGTCCACCTTTCTTCATTATTAGGAGCCTGAGGTGAAGGCCGGTCCTCAAATCCATTTCTGAGAAATAAGTCCCTGCTCTGAGGGCAGAGCTAGGATTTGAACTCAAAGAGATAATCTGGGAAGGAGGAAAAGAGAAAAAAAGGAAACAGGCAAAGGAGAGAAGAAAGGAAGGTGAGAGGGAGGAAAGCACAGAGGGAGGGAAGGAGTATGGGAGACCAAATTTCATACCAAATATTATATGAAAACCCTTGTTCAGGACCTGAAGGAATTAAAATTTATAAGTTAGGATTTCTCATGTGACAGATCACAGAAAAAGAGCTGTTCCCTGCAGACAAGAGACAGCTAGGCCCCCCCCTACAGAGGGAGTGTTACTTCCTGTGACATACTTCCTGAGCTAGAGCATTAGGTTGAAAATAGAGAAAAATTTGGCTTCATTTACAAGGAATTCTTTTTATGATTTGCTTCCCCTGATTATCAATAAATACACAGAGAAGCATGGCTTGGGCCCTTCAGTCAAGAACTGCTGGCCACCTGTTTTATGCTCTCTGTTCTATCTCAATAATTATAAAAATACGTTACCCTCAGTCTGCAACAAAGGAGGGAGGGGGACAAGGAGAGATGGAGGTGAGAGACAGAGGGTCAGGGTTGGAGGGAAAGAATGAGAATGAGAGAAGCGGAGGAGAGAGGGGAAGCAGGACGGATGAAGGGAAGTTAGAGGAAGGGAAGGGAAGGAGTAGAGTGAGTGTGGACCCAGCCACTCTCCCAGGAGATCCAGGCCCTGGCTGTGTCCCCATTGGCAAGGCCACAACTTGTCCTCTCATCCCTTAAGGGGACTCAGGAGGCACCTCTGGTTTGCAAAAACGAGGTGGCTGGGATCCTGTCCTTCAGCTCTCAGGCCTGCACCACCCATGGCCTCTACTGTGGACCCCTAAAAGTCCTAGATCAAGATCTGACCAAGCACTGGTGACCCCTCCCTGGGAGCAAGGGGAGGGCAGTGGGGACAGGAGACACAGCCCTGCTCCACAGCCCCGGCTGCTGCACCTGACTATGGCCACCCACAGTGGCCCTCCTGACCACGCCCCCCTCCAGCTGCACCCCTGTGGCCCTCCTGACCATAGCACCTCCTCCGCCCCTCCCCCATCCACTGCATCCTGGTGTCCCTCCTGACCAGCACAGCTTCCTGCAGGGACCACGATGCTCTGTGCAGTTACAGCCTCTCAAAGCAGAGATGGTCACACAGAGCAGGTCCCAAAAGCTGTAGGGAAGTTAGTGCAACTTTGTAGAAAACTTCTCTCCATTTGCAAATATCTGATCAGGCGATGGAGACTTGAGCATGCCGCCTGTCTTTTTTTATTTGTTTATGAAGAGGCACACCGGCTTCACCAGACAGCAAGAAAGGGTGTGAAGCCATTACAGTGGGCACATGCTGTTTGAGGGCATATTCAACCCAGTGGCCAGTCACCCACCACCCTTCCTCACTTCCTGCCTGGGTTCCCAGAGGAGGGAACACTGTTGCTGTTGTTGTTTGATCCTAGGGACCTAGTGAGAGCCCTGAAATATGGGAAGCCGATACTAAATACTTGTAATAAACTGAATGCTATCTCAAGATGGGGGGGGCAAGGTTCAAGCTAGAATTCACCCCCCACCCCCACCCCCACTCCACACCCCCAGGCACTAAGGCAATCATTAAGGGTTTATCAGATTCTTGCATTTGCTGACCCCTCCTCCTGAATCAAGGGGAAAGGAAGGTTTTCAATAGGAAGAGCTTGGCTTCATTTGCATTGAATTCTCTTTGTGATTTACTTCCTGATAATTTTCAATAAAGATGCAGAGAAGCTTGGCTTGGGCCCTTCAGTCTGGCCCCCTGTTTTATGCTCTCTGTTCTATCTCATTCCTGGCTAGCTGTCTCATTATTATTAATAATAAAATTACCCTGGTCTGCAACACTGAAGACCTTCCCTGTACTGTGCCATCCTCAACTCCTCGGACGCCCTCAAGCCCATGTTGCAGTCTCTGTATCTGTCCATCTGATGGGGGGGCCTTCCCCTCTTTTGCTGACCCCCCAGCTTCCCAAGCACGTTTTGGACCTGTTGCCAGGAGAGGTTATGTCTTAGAAAGGCGACTCATGATTGGAAAGAGGGGCCAAGGAGCAGAGGGACTGAGCCAGCATCTCCTGCATGACTGGAGCTGGAGACAAGCTCTAGGGCTGGGCAGTGGCTGGAGGGCCTTGTGCTCCACACGGGGGACACACCACCACACCCCAGTAGCACAACCCAGATCCTGGGGCCATGGAGGCTGACCACACCCCACCCTCACCTTGGCCAGGTGTGTCCTGGGCTGGGGCCAAAGTTCCTGCAACTCCAGTAAAGAAACTAGCAGGTGACACGAGGCCGCTAAACTTGTTCCTGGTCTCCAGGTTTGTTGTTGTTGTTATGTGCCATCGAGTCGCCTGCCACTCATAGCAACCCTATGGTCTCCAGGAGGCTGGTTTAATGCTGATAGACTCAAAGGCTGAGGGTTCTCCTACACAGAGCAGTGTGAGCTGCTGTTGGATATGGTTAAATGTCAGGGCCTGGTTAACCTGCAAAGCAGGATCAGCAATGCATTGTAAAAACAGCAGGACCACTCATCTTGGCTTGACCATCCATTCTGCAGTAAACAACTCCAGGAAGCAGTATGCTAATGAATAAGGAGGGACCAAAGGCCTCAGATTTCTAGGAATGTGATACCTTCTTGTTTTCCAATAGATATCATAGGATATCCCGGAAGATGTCTTTATTTTGTGTTGAGGTCTGGGAATGTTTGATCTACCAGTCAACATCTCAGATAAGAGATAATGCGATTACCCCTGCAGGCATGTTCCTAAGACGTGTATGTATCCCAGAGGTGCACAGTTCGAATCCCCCAGATGCTCTGCCGGGGAAGGAGGAACAATCTCCTCCTGTACCAGTCAGATCTGATTTGACGGTACACTCACACAAAAATAATAAAATAAAATTTTTTTTAAAAAGACGTGTATATATACCCTTGCCAGAATATTAAACTTGCTATTTGTCATCGGCAATTAGCCTCTCCGTGTCTTCATTTCAACCTGGTGCCTCCTTTTGGCGGAATTCTCCCGACATATCGGGGCTGGATCCCTGATAGTTAAAGAAATCTCATGTCCCTGAGTTGTTATGGTAATTTTCTCTCCTTCAAGACGTAGCACCAGCCATCTTGGTCAAAGGGCTAAGAGGTGTCAAGAATGCTAAATCTAGGGAGCTCTGGTGGCCTAGTGGGAAGAAGCTGCACTGCAATCCCAGAGGTGTATAGTTCAAATCCACCAGATGCTCTGCTGGAGAAGGAGAGACAATCTCCTTTACCAGTCATATCCAATTTGACGGTACACATACACAAAATAAAATAAAAAGAATGCCAAATTCAGGGCCCCGGATGAGCTGTCGGATTTTTGAGGGTTGAGTGATTGGGTAAGACAAAAAACTCTTCCCGAGGCTGTTGTAAAGTTCGCTCTTACCCCATCCTGCTGAAACTGGTGAGCTCTAACCTTTCCAGGAGTACTAGGTTATTGGGGGCCTTTTATTCCACATTCAGCTCAGACCCTGCATACGTTATACCAGTGAGTATGGAAAGGAGTGAACTGGATCAATGAAGAGCATCTAGCATGGAGGCCAGGACTGCCATCCACTAGGTTCTGGCTTTAGAAACTACAGGCCCAGGGCAGGAATTGGAATTGGGTGTGGCCAGTAGCCCTGAAGGGGACAGATAGAGACTGGTAACAGCCACAGGGCCAGCGAATCCCACATGGACTCTGATCCCAGCTGTGGAGCAGAGAGACCAGATTCAAGCCCTAGAGAAACAGCTGTGTGCAGTGTTTGATCATCTACAGCCAGTGCATCACCAAGGGCAGTCTTGTAAAGGTTCGGCCTCCCATCCCTCTCCAGGGATGGGTCAACGGCTTTGCTAAGCAGTCTGGGTGGCACCACACAGCACCTCAACTCTAACCACCCAACATTCTGTCAGCTAGCCTGCAGTGCGGTGAACTCCACCAGACCTCAGGTCCAGTCACGTTTGTGACCACAGAGGATGCAGCCACTCCCACTGTCCTGGACGTGTCCCTAGAGGAACCACATAGCTGAAGGCACAGGGTGCACACCAGAGGACACACAGCACACTGGGGGGCTGCTCCAGGGAATCCTCCAACGTGGAAAGCGTGGCTCTCCAGCCCACCATGGACAGTGTGTAGGTGGACCATGATGGACAGAGTAACCACGGGGCTGAGCTCAAAGCTGCACGGATGGCTCTAAAGTATGCGCCCCATTAGTTTATGCACCTTACCTCGTCACTGCTGTTAGGTACCTGTATGTCTATGGTTCACCGCGGCCCTGCCCTGCACCACCGTCACCATCTCTGATAGATGGTCACTGTGTCAATCCATCTCACCGAGGGTCTTCCTCTCTTTCACTGACCCTCCATATTCCCAAGAATGATGCCTTTTCTAAGGACTAGTCCCTTCTATCAACATGTCCAGAGCATCTGAGATGAAACATCACTGTTCTTGCCTTTAAGGAGCACTCTGGTTGCATATTCTACAAGGCGTATTTGTTTATGCTTTTAGCAGTCCAGCAATCCATGGAGGATTCCGTTTTCTTCTTCAATGCTGCATTTCAAAGACTTTGATTCTTCTGTCATCTTAATTCATGGTCCAACTTTCAGGTGCATCGTAACTGAAAAGACTAGGCACCTTAGTCTTTCAGCTGACCTCCTTGCTCCTGAGCACTCTGGAGAGACCCCTAATTTTCCCAAGGAGACATGTGTTTCAATTCCTTGACTGCTATTGCTGTTGCCGTTGTGAATCCAAGTAAGATGAAGCTGTTGATAGTTTCAGCCTTTTCTACACCTGTCATGTTGTCTATCATTCCAGTGGTGAGGATTTTTGTTTTCTCGACACCGAGATGCAATCCATATTGAAAGTTGTATTCTTTGATCTTCTCCAGCAAGTGCTTCAAGTCCTCCTCAGGGTTAGCAAGCAAGGCTGTGCCATCATAACTCAGGTGATTAATGAGTCTCCTGCAATCCTGATGGCACACACTTCTATAGAAGTTTTGTTGGTTTGGGGTTTTGGTTTACCAACTTCTACAATCGGAGATCAATCGAACATGCAATCAAGATGCATTGATAATAATGGGTGACTGGAATGCAAAAGCTGGGAACAGAGAAGAAGATTCGGTAGTTGGGAAACATGGACTCAGTGACAGAAATGGAGCTGGGAAAAAAA